CGATTGTAAGGTTACTTGTGGTATTGATGTATTTGTATTTTTTGGTGTTGTAAGGTTTGTACGTATTGGTGAGATACTTTGTTGTGTATTTGTTACTGTTGTTTGGACTATTTCTTCATTTATGAAGTGTGATGGTGTTTGAATATCTTGTTGTGTAAGATTTCTAGTTCCATTGAGGTTTTCATTATATATAACTGTTGAATTTAAGCTGTTATTTCGTGTATCGGGTAAAAATGTATTATAATTTAAAGGTGTTGCATCAATTGTTAGTGGTATTACTTTTGCATAATCTTTGTGAAAAGATATTGTACTTATTGTTCGGCTTGAGATATCTGCTGGGAAATTTAAAAATGCTGGATGAGACCATTCGGGGTCCCAAACGTAATCTGATTGTTCTGCAATGACAGTGTCGTCATTTGTACTTTCGGGTCTAAAGTTTTTTCTTGCTTGTTCAATTAAGTCGATTTTATGTGTAAAATAATCAATTGTAAACCATGCTAATATTTTTTGTAGATCATGTTTAGTGTTTTGTGATACATCATTATTGGTAAAATTTTTACGGATTGCGTTTAAAAATGTTGAGAATGCGGCGATTTCGTTTCTCACTTTTGTATGTTTTGATGTTTGGATTGGTGATGTACTTTGAGCTTCTGTTCTTTCTAATATAGATATATAACTATCAATTATTACAAAAACTTCGTTGATCAATATTGAATTTGCTCTCTCTGAGTTTTGATATTGTATGCTTTTGATATATTCTGTGAATACTTTTGAAAATTCTAAATCAATATCGTCTGTTTGGATAACATATTTACCATGAAGTGTTCTTGGTGTGCTGAGTTCTATGGTGTAGATTCCGTATTGTTGTGTTAGGTTACATATGTCTTTCAAACAAGGTTCTATAATTTCTCTTTTGATTTTTATGTCTGGGAACTCTGGTTTGCATGGGCTGATTCCTGGTTCAAACAAATTTACGAGTAAAATTTTGTAAAAACGTGTTTGTCTTCTATCACTGAGTGAATTTATAATAAAAGGGAAAACTGTTTCTTCGTCTTGACTTTCGTCACTTTGAGTGTTGCTCATTTTTTCGTTTGATGACTTTTAATATATATTTATCAATATGTCTAATTGGTTGACTCCAATTCTATAGATGTACTGGTTTGTTTTTATATTTCTTTTTTATTCTATTTTTTCCTCTTTTTGATGAGTTTGAAATTGTTTCTGAATCGGAAAAATATAACTGATCATAGATTGGGCAATTTTTGTTTACTGATTCTTTTAATTTGTATAGTGCGTCTAGACTACTGACTTCTGATTCGGAGAATGCATTTCTGTTTTTTGAAAATCTTTTTCGTGTTATCTGTCTCTGTTTACTTATAATTTTTCTTTTTATTGTTTGTCGTTTTGTTCGAATGTATCCAACTGTTTGTGTATGTGGGGTTACCACAAGATCGTATTTCTGGTCGTCTATTTCACAATTGTTTAATACGATTGTTTGTTTATTTCCTAAATTTTTCAAATACATAAGGTTTACGATGAAGGATGCAAGAAGTTATTAGTGATTTTAATTTTCCTAGACTGTTAGTCCTTACGATTTTTTGGTTAGCTTAACCAGGGATTTTTTGTTCAGGGTTGGAGAGAAAAGAGTATCGATTCCGATGAATGATTTTTACTTTCTCGTGGCTAGTCTAAGATAAGGTGTTAACTTTCTTAATCTTACTTAGGTGTAGTGATTGTGTTCAAGGGTTGGAGAATAGTAAATCGATTCACAAGGTTCAGGTATAATTAGAACGCAAGTAGATACTATTTTAAACTTTCTAAGTTTAAGATTTATCCTGGGTCAGGTAAGATGAGGGTTCAAGTGAAGGATGAATAACCGAATTTCTTCACTGTTTAGCCTAATTTGAATGGTTAGAGTGATTAAAAAATTTCTATTAGTCCTGGGTCGTTTGAAAAGGTTGGGTAGTGAATCGACGTTTGAGGTCGTTAGACACTTGATAAGTGGGTGGGGGAGAACAAAAATGTTCTTTTTGATCCAAGGATAAGCCTTGATGATCAGAAATAAAATTTAGAAGATAGAAAATTGAATTAGATCCAAGGAAAGCCTTGATGATCTGGTTTAAGATTAAATAAAATTAAGTTTAAATTAATTTAAATTTATTTGATAAAAGGTTTTAGTCTTTGATGATATTAGTTAATTTAGGATTGCTGTTATGTTTAGGTGATGAAGCTGGAACAACAGGGTGATTTATATATACTAACAATTTATTGTCATGCTACTAATTTTTATTTTTATTTTCAAGAAATATTTTTCAAATATGTTTTATAAAATACTGCAGAAATTAAGAAAATGATCTGAGATCTTTTTATCAATCGTTATTGTACATTAATAATTTTGTTTAGCGCCTGAAATGATCATGAAGATTTACTTCAAAATTTTATGTTTGCAAATGAAAATCTAAATTCATTGCTAGTAAGATTCTAAATATAAAAGTTTGTGTTGGCTTTTGCCGTACGACCATGAAACTAAATGGTAAGTTTCGATGTAGTCGTATGTCGTCTCTTGTCTGGGGTCTTTTTACAAAACCGGGTAGTTCTCGTTTTGTACGGAATAGCGGCTCTGATCTATTGAGTCGTAGAGACATTTCAATTAAGTTATTGTCGTGTAACATTTTGAAAATGTTTTGTATAATTTCTAATCTATTTTTGGTTAATACTAAGCTATTTTGTTTTTTAAGGTCTTATTCGAGACTTATGGTCGCACCAGATGAGTTATGTTAGAAGGTCTAACTCATAGAGTAATTTCGGATAGGGTACACCGTCTGCTCGTCACGCTATCTTATTTTCGGCCGGATAGATTCGTGCAACTTCTTGTGAGCGGAGATTTAATCTGTCTTAGAAATCGTTCTAAATTCGGTAAAAGAAGCTTATTTGCCATAATTTATTTGTTACTAGAAGCAGAATATATCACTCTGCACTATATATGGCGTGTGGGGGGATGATTTTTACAAAAAAATCTCAATTTTTTTACAAATTTTTTTTCATTCTTTTGTACAATTAATTTTTGCGTGTTATTACTGCTTCATAGACCTTAAAAGGCAGTTGGAATATTCACGGCTTCGCCCTGATACGAGCACTCTTGTTATGATTGAAATTTTATTGCAAAAATTAAGCTGAACATCCTTGGAAAACGTGCTGTAAGTCGAGCGTTTGGCATTCAAAAATCTCCACGCAAAATCAGGCGACCACAAATAATCATCGGACAGGACTGAGTGATATATCATATTAAAGCCCTCCACGCAAAACCAGCGCAAAATCAGCTACCTTGCAAAATCAGCTACCACACAAAATCAGCCACCACAAATAATCATCGGAAAGGGTTTTCCACGCAAAAATTAGCTACTACAAATAATCATCGGACAGCGTTAATTGATAAATCATATTAAAACCTTTTCAGTCGTGATTTGAACATTTGCAAATTTCAAAGTTTTTTCACAGCGTCGAGAAAAAATTTGTTTGAAGTTTTTGATTTTTGGTCTAATTTTGAAGTAAACGTTGGGTCTAATTTCAAGCTAATGAGCTGTGTAGGCTTACAATAGCTTATTTAAGCTTATTTTAAGCCGTAAAACTTAAAGTTTACTCAAGTGAAGGAAGTTTTTGGAGTTTTTTTTGGGAATCAAAACGTTGAAAATTCAAAACAATTTTCGCAAAATTTTTTGAACATTTGTTGAAATTCTTTCAAAAATGTTTCTTCAAAAATTGTTTTCCAGTTCACCTATTTTACTATGACTCTCAAATAAATCTGTTCTATTTTTTCGTACAGATAATTTTTTCACACCATTCAGGAGAATGGCACCAAACTGAACAAGGGTAGCCGGTTACTGTGCAAGTAGCACAGAATGTTCCGACCACAGTCTTAGAAAAATATAAAAACATTTTTTTTTCAAAACGAGGTCGTTTTGTTTTCAAATTTGATGTAAAAAAAGATCTGAACAAATAAAATTAACGTAGGCGTAATTGACAGTCATATTAAAAAAAGGCCATTCGAAAAAAAATTTTTGAAGAAAATAACTAGAAAAACGAACAAACATTGTAAGGAAAATTTGAAAAATGAAAAAAATTAAATTTAGAAACTTTTGGAACTTTTAACCTTTATATACAAAATGGCGCTATAAAACTCCTAAAACTTCTTTTATTTTAGTGTAACTAAGTTTTCACGGCTTAAAGTAAGCTTAAATAAGCTACCGAAAGCCTACGCATGCACACCATATTAGTTCGAAATTAGGCCAAAAATTTCAAACCGGTTTTTCTGACACTAAAAAAAATTTCGAAATTTTTTAATGTCGTTCAAATCACGTTTCAAAAGGCTTGAATATGAAATATCACTCGAACCATTCCAATAAATATTTGTTTTGTGGCACCCGAGTTTGCGGGAAAAAAACTAAACACACTCGAATCCAAAGTTCCTCCTTATTTTCAATGGTCGTAACAATAAGTCTTACAATCTGCTAGTACATTAAATAAAATTGTTGCTCTGGTAGATCTTGCAAAAAATCAGACTGCTCGTATCAAGGCGAGGCCCTGAATATTCCAATTGTATTCTTAGGTTGCTTTAAAAAAAATGATAAAACTTTCAAAAAACTGAAAGCCATACCCCACAGGCTATGTAAAATATAAAGCGATATATGTAGCATACAGCACGGTATCAAATAGACAAAATAGCATGCCTCAATTCCTAGGACGAATGTCTTACGGGGGGTTCGGTAATCCCTTCCCTATTGTCCCAAATTGGCAAACCTTTTGTAAACACCCAAAAAACTGCAAAAATTGATTGCAAGTAAACTATCTTTTTAAATTTGAGCTCAGGGCTTAGATGGTATAGAAAACTCAAAAAAGCCAAAAGGTTGCTTAAAAGAAGCTTGTCAAGAGCATCCTGCGTACGTTATGGAGAACTGAAGCTATCAAAATGTATTTACTACGTAAAATATATAGTCAGTAGGTATGATTTGTTGCAGTTGTTGCAAGAATTCGTTCAAAGAAGTTTGATGGTGAATACTTGTTCAAAAATTTTCAGTTTAAGAGTGTTCATTTTATACGACTAAATTAAATGATTCAGTGAAACTACTATTAACCAGAGAAGTTTCTTGAGTCTCAGTTGTTTTTCACAGCCTTGGTTTGCGACCTAAAGTACTTCACAAATCTAGATCTATCTCGCTCCTCTTTCTGTGCAAACTCCTCGAGCTGTCTTTCCAGCCACTGATCCACGTAGTTTTTGTCATCTGGGTTCTCTGGAATGGCAGCCAAATTATTCCGCATGCGATCCGTCACACTCACGAACATTTCACACAGCTCGCTGATTTCTTTGGCCCTGTTTTTCATCATCTTGTAGTACTTCTGTTTCGCCCCGTGGTTTCCGGCGCTGATCATTTTCTCTACCTTCGTTTTAGACAAGTTGATAAAGCTCACGCACACTTCCAGACTCTTGATGAAGTTCCCGATTGCGGGGATCAGCTCAGTACTCGTCAACATGACTGCTTTACTAGCAATTTCGGCATTTTGCAATTTTGCAACTGCTTCCGCTGTCTTTCTGTCTGACTCAAGGTCGTGACCGCTAGCCACCCCCTCGCAAATTGCAGCTGATATTCCCAACGTCACTCCCCCAAAAACTGCTCCCCAGAATCGAGTCGACTGTGCTTTCTCTTTCGATTCTCTCGCTTCCTTTATGAGATCTTGTCTTTGTCTGGCATATTGATTTTTCATTTCTTCCAGTTTTTCAATTCCAACCACGGCTTTGTCTTCGTTTTTCTTCATCCCGATAATGATTTCGTTGTGCATATGTCGCAAAACTTCGCAGACGTCCTTCGCTTCTTTCAGCTCCTCGAGAGTATCGTTTAGACACTCTGCCCACTCGTCGAAATCCAAATCCGAGTACGAATCCATGTAGGAAGATATCATCTTAATCGCTTCCTCTGTCTTCGGCAGAATCTCCTTTGAATAGACAATCGATTGCTGGCGAGTGGAATCCCGAACCTCCAGGAACGTTCTAGTCGCATCGTCCTGGCCAGTGACGTTCACTTCGTTGAAAAGTCGTCTCAAGGAACCACTGTTAATTACCAAGTTGTATTAGTGAGAACAAAACAAACGATTGAAGGATGTTCGCTTGCAATGAAATCAGCCAAAAAATGAACACCAAAAATTAAAACCGCATCAACTCACTCTTCGACAGCTTTGAGCAGGTACTTGCTAAGATAATATTTTGAACAACAAAAAAATGCTTGTTGCGAATTCCGTCACATGAAGTATTAAGAAAGCAAGTTGCCATTGCAGAATTATGTTCACGGATTCCGCACCATGTTTTTAAGAATCCATGTATGAAATTTGCGCACGGAATCCGCGTAATTAGAAGCACAAAATAGTTTTTTGCAAAAATAACATACCTAAGCATCAATCTATTTTCATACAATTACGTTTTGTTTTTGCCCAATCTTTCTGACTATTACAGATGGGTTTCGGGCCAGGATATTGAGTATACAGGACAATCAGCAGACATCAAAATCAGACTATATGATTTTTTTATCGCAAAACTGGGGAAAAGGATACCACAAAAAATGAACAAAGAAATGAGATGCAATACGCCGAAAAAAATCTAGCAATAAATCAAAAACTCATGAATCAGTTAAACTATACGGCGGTCAGCGTTTGATTCAAGTCAGGTGTGGCTATTCGCTAGCTTTCTGACCAGAAGGTTAGTATACAGGCAATTGCGTCTGAAAATCAAAAAATTAGCAACTCAAGCTTCCTTTATTTGAAAAAAATAAAAGCGTGAAGTTGAGATACACTTTAATTTAAAACAAAATTTATTGCAATATGCAATTCCTATGGTCAACATGTGACTATTCACTATCTCCATGCTCAGGAATTGCATATTGCTTTAACCGGTTTTTAAAATTAAACTACCAAGCCCGCCTCCAATAATCAATTGGCTCGCAAAAAATTAGTTGTTGTTCTGATTAAGCTATCAGAGCAACAAAAAACTTTAAACAACTTCAGGTTAGGCTATATCTTAAATCGGTTTGAAAAATTTTAGATTTCATAGAACGAATCGGTTCCCAAAAAAATGAAGTTTTTCTAAGCAAGCTATTGAAGCTATGAAACTTTGAAATATTTCAAAATGTTTCATGAAGCAAATCGGATGACGCAATTCAAGGTTTTCATATGAAAACTATTCAAGCTATAAGTCATTGAATTATTTCATGTTTTTTCATAGAGCGAACCATTAAGCCAAAGTTAATTTCTTCTAGGCAAGCTTGACAAAAGTTAAGTTTTCTTAGTAAGCTACTCAAGCTATGAACTGAAACATTTAAAGTCACTTCACAGAGCGAACTGGCTCGTAAAAAGTTCAACCTATTTAAAACATGAATTTTTTAAACATTTCTGAGTTATTACATACACTGATTTGGTTCACAACAATTATGAGTTTTTCGAAGCGAACTATTAAACTATGAGACTTTGATTTACTTCTTGTTATTTTCTAAAGACTAAAAAAAATTCTCAAAAAAATTAAAAATTTTCAAAGAAGCTGTTTAAGCTATGAAACTTAAAATAATTCACTTTTTTTTTCAAAATTTGAACCGGATCGCAAACTGCTCTTCTGGTGAAGCCTTTGAAGTGGTTTCCAGTTTTTTCTTAGTTTTAAAATTATTATTTTGAGCGAGCTAATGGAGCTATGAAACTTTGACATAATTCAAGATATTTAATGAAACAAATCGGTTCTCGAAAAACTTACTTAAGCAAGCTATTCGGAATTTTGAAAATTACAAAACTTTAAAAAATTTCCGAGTAAATTCATAGACTGGCTCGGTTTGCGAAAAGTTTATAACTTTAATTCTAATGGAGATATGCCAATTTGAAATATTTCAAGTCACTACATAAAAAGAATCCGTACGCGAAAAATTTAAGTTTTTCTAAGCAAGCTTTTTAAGCTAGAAATTAGAAACTTTAAAAATAATTCAAATTATGTCAAAAACCGAATCAGTGTGTGAAAAATTAAACTTTTCTAAGCGAACTAAACCAGCTATGAAATTTTGATATAATTCAAAATAATTAATGAACCAAATCAGTTCACAAAAAACTTAATTAAGCAAGCTATTTGAAATTTTGAAGCTGTTCGAAATTTTGAAAACTACAGAACTTTCCGATAAAAAAAATCCGAGTAATTTCATACACTGACTCAGTTTGCGAAAAAAATAGATTTTTCAAGGCAAGCTAATAGAGATATGCAACTTTGAAATATTTCAAGTCATTTCATAAAACGATTCAGTACGCGAAGAGCTCAAAAATTTTCTAAACAAGCCAATCAAGCTAATGAAACTTTTAAGTTATTTCATTATTTCATAGAATTCTTTCAAGTTATTTCATAGACTGAATCATTGGCGAAAAGGTTGTTTTTCTGAGCAAGCTTTTAAAGCTATGAAACATTGAATTATTTCAAGTGTTTCATAGACCGAATCGGTTCGCAAAAAGTTTATGTTTTCCCAAGCAAGGTTCAAAGCTAAGAAACGTTAAAAATTTTCAAGTTATTCTGTAGACCAAATCAGTTCGCAAAAAGTTGAAGTTTTTCTAAGCAAGCTTTTAACGCTATGAAACTTTTAAAGCTATGAAAGTTATTTCAAAGACTGAATCGTTCGCGAAGAGGTTGAGTTTTTCTATGCAAGCTTTTCATCAAGCTATGAAACTTTAACTAATTTCAAGTTATTTAATAGACTGAATTGGTTCGCAAATTTTTTAATTTTTTATAAGCAAGCTGTTAAAGCTATGAAACGTTGAATTATTTCAAGTTATTTCATAGACTGAAACGGTTTGCGAAAAGATAAAGTTTTTCCTTAGTTTGAATTTCTTAATTTTCGATTTTCAGACGCAATTACTTGAATACTCACCTTCCGGTCCCCGGGTGATTTTACGAAATTTCCTAGCTTTTCGGTTTCGAGTTTGGTTAAATTTTTTTTTTGAGGTGTGCTTAAAATGAACTGTGGTGTGCACACCTCAAAGCACACCTCAAAAACTGTCAAAATTTACTTGGGTGGCAAAAGAAAAATGTTCAGCCCATGTGAAAAATCTTTTAACAGTTAGCGTTCGATATCCAAAATTTCAGTTTTGGTCGCACTTGTTGCGCTTTTTGGTCTTTGCGTTGGCCTTTCTTTTATTTTTGGCCGAGAAAGTTAGCGCGTTCGGAAAATATAAAATCTGAGCGTGACCAAATCGGTGGTAATATCTTAGTCTTGCCGAATGTTCATGGCGAATGGCGAAGACCTCGACTTCGGGGAGATATATGCGCAATTACTGCGTCAGGCCATGAGTTTATTACAAACAAGAACCCAAAATTGTTCCGCAACGATCAATTTGCTCACCTGAACAGAGCCAGATCAACTGGAGCGTCCAAAAGAGCATCTCTCAGCTTCTCCAAATGAGATGACTCATCATCGGGGATGTTTGAAAGCTCTCCCATTTTAGGCGCAGAGTTGTTTTATTTCAGTTTTCGCTTTTTGAAACTATATGAAAGAAAAAGTTTGGTATCCGCTTTTGCAAATTTCAATTGGTAACTAAATTTTCGGGACAAACTGTCAAAACTTGCTAACGAATACCTTGAAATTTGAATAATTACAATTGTTAAGTATCGTTTCCTTACAGCAATAGAAGTGAATCATAGTTCAACGACTTGTTGTTCCGACTTTCAATTGGTAACGAACTTTTCAGGACAAACTGTCAAAATTTGCTAACAAATACATTGATATTTGAATATTTACAATTGTTAAGTATCATTACGTTACAGCAATAGAAGTCAATCATAGTTGAACGAGTTTTTGTTCCGACTTTCGGAGAAAGCTGAATATTTATGTTTGGCTTGGTTTTTTATTCAGTCATTTTCGGCAAATTTTATACCCCATTGATGATATTGACTCCCTGAAATCAAATTTAAAAGGTTATTTTACCTCCAATTTTTTTTGCAAGGTTATGGGAGTTTGGCGCCAATTTTATTCATAAGGCTGAAATATTTTTGCATGTCGAATTATCCCGCACAACAAAATCGTTCCAAATTGAATTGAGGGTAGCTAATTGATCGTATTAACTTCGTTCGACTCAAACTTTTACAATTAGATTTTGATCTTGTTTTTTAATATTTTCGTCTCTGAAAAACTATTCGATATGGATTAAAGGGCAGTCGGAACATTCAGGGCTTTGCCCTGTATACGAACAGTCTTGTTAGCCATTGAAATTCGAAGATCATAATGTTCAATAGCCTTTAAGGTTTATCAGCCATACCTTAGAGGCCATTGAACACTATGATTTTCGAATTTCAATGGCTAACAAGGTTGCTCGGATATCAGGGCAAAACCTTGAGTATTACGACTGCCACTTAACCCATATCAAATAGTTTTTGGGAAAAGAAAATATTGAAGCACATTATATGTTGGACAATCTCGAAAATCAAGTGTACAAATTTGAGTCGTATGAAATTAATATGAAAAATTAGATAGCCTCAACTCAGTTCGAAACTATTTTGTTCTGAGGGATATTTTGCCACGCATGAATATTTTGCGTTACGTTTTCAAGATTAGGGATAAAAACTATAAATTAGTTTAGAGCTTGACTAAATTGGCAGTTTTCAAACTGACAAAACTTTCTACTAAATTGATCGCAGGTAAAGCATTTGTTTTAAAATTATATTCAGGGAGTCAATATCTTCATTGGGGCATAAAAGTTTTTTTCGTTCAAAACTATTGTTTCGAATGCCAAAAATTGACTGAATAAAACAAACCAACCAAGCATAACTATTCCGTTTTCTCCGAAAGTCGGAACAATAAGTCGCTGAGCTTTGCTTTACTTCGAACTTTAACAATTTAAAAGAGTGGTTTCGGGCTAAGAAATTGAGTATACAGAAATATCAGCATACTTTGAAATCAGACTAACTGAATTTTTTTATCGCATATAAATATATCACAAATAAATTTTTTGTCGCATTTAAATCGCAGCACACGCATTTAAATTAACTGCTTTATTATTCCGACTTTCAAGGAAAGTGAGGAATACCCTAGCTAAGGTACGCGACTTGAGGCGGGACCATAGCGACACAAGTGAGGTAAATCGCGATCGCCATGTTTTGAAGATTGGGCTCAAACAATCAACAACCGCTCAAGTTCTCGCAAGAAACGATCGAACCGTTCAAAATTGTTCAAAACTTAGTAAGAAACGCTCAAACTGCTCAAATCTTGGGCGGTTTTTTGAAAATTTATCCCGAAGCGGTTTATTTGTTGCAGGGCACACGCAACCAGCTCTAGAAAAATCTGAATTCTATAACAACCACAATACCAAAACATATGCCAAAAATTAACCAAAAATATTTTAGAATCCAGTTTGAGAGGGGTCCAAAATAACGTATATTTTAATAAATTACAGCAATTATTCGAATCAATATGCGCCAGTCGGTCGTTTTAAAATTTTTCCACAAGGCAAATTTTTCCACGTTTTAAAAATTTTCCACGAGGCGCTTTAATTCCACGAGGCACTTTAATTTTCCACGCATTTTTGAGGCACTCTTATCACATTAGGGACCCAGTTATTTTCTTCTTGAAATGGTTAACTCTTTCACACAGGTACCCCGACTTGTTGTTTTAGTCCGTAATGAGGAGAGCCTGTACGTGGCGATGGACACCGAGGCAACAGCCTCGCCAATTCTCTACCGACAAGACACTTCCTAAAGACCGAGACGGCGGATTTTTTTTAAGACGTCCTGGGATCGCCGCGCATCTAGAGCGAAATCCACCCACACCCCGGACCGAAAAGACCACGCGCCTTATGGGAGAAAACAGTCGCACGAGTAAGCACTCGGGTGAGTAGACTGCAGAAAGTGATAACATAGACGATGTCTCACATATCAGTCGAAGGCATACTCAGCCACAAAAATTACCGCTGGCACTGCGGCTGCGTTTCTCTGAGGGCGAAGGTTACACCCAAGAAGAGACAGCGGCATGTACCGCCGAAGCACAAGAAGACACTGAAGATTTTGCTGCGTAACATAGACGGCTGGAGGGGAAAACTACCATCCTCAACAAGACCATGGAAGACACGGAAGCCTACATTGTTACTCTGCAAGAAACAAAATTCACCAAGCAGGTCATTGTGCCGACGGACTGGACACTGTACAGGAGAGACAAGATAATTCAGCGTTTAATGGCACGAGGACAAACTCAAGGTGGCATTGCGACGCTGGTTAGACCCGACATCAACACGAAGCCCATCGACAAGCTGAACCTTCCAGTGACAGCGGTACTGGAGAGCATCGGAGTCAGCGTCCTGACCAGAGACGCATGGCTAGATGCGTGAATATCTACCGCCCATCAGCGAGAGGAATAAAAGACACACGGAACGCCCAGCTGCACAACATGAGCACAGTGATCTGCAGCGAAATTAACGCGACATGGACGAGACAGGCAGCAAACTACAGGAGTCCATGGACAACACCAGTATGACGACTCTGAGTTCTGGGCTCCCGACCAGATTCGACAGCAGAGGCAACGGAACAGCTCAGGACGTCACAGTTGTGTCTGCGCAGAGACTACCCGTTTGAGTGGCAGACGTCACCATTGTCTGCACCACCACCAACAACAAGACCAAAGACGAACCGCATTAGAAAAAAACTCAACATTCGCAAAGCCAACTGGGAAGCTTGGCTGACGGAGATTTCGAAGGAGTTAGCCCTCCAACCAGAAGAGTTCGAGTCGATCGAGAAGGAGCACAATAAACTGATGGAAGCCATCTCCAAGGCATTCAAGAGGGCCATACCAACCACCATGAGGAAGAACCTGAAAACCTGGTGGAGTGACGACTGCGATTTGGCGAAACGGACCTGTAACGAAGCGGAGAAACAAGCAAAGCAGAACAGATGCAATCAGTGGTTTCGAGAACGGTACGACGAAGTTCACAAGAAGCTGAAAGACACAGTTGTAGAGAGCAGGAGAGCAAGCTAGAGGTCTTTCGCTGGGCAGCAAAACACACCATGGGAGGATCTCAGCTGAGAAGCCAGAGCTGGAGTAGTCTCTCTCGATCCTCATGAAACAGCTGGCAAAACCCAACCGCCGTTAACTCTGCTAGAAAGGAACATCGGCTACAAGAGAATGACCTTACTGGGTGTGCACATCGATTCACAGCTGAGGTTTGGCAACCACGCCCAGAAAGCCTAGAAGAAGCTCTGTAAGCGAAACCAGATACTTCAGGCGCTAGTCGGCAGAGGACGGGGAATGAGCGCCTCCGACCTCCGACGAGTCTAGAGCCTATGGCAAACCCAGCGGATGGTATGCAGCAGAAGTGTGTGGTGACTTCCTAGTGGGGTGTCTTACCATGCGGACTCACACATAACGCACTCAGAAAACTGCAACAATATGGTAGCGCGCTGCATCACAGAAGCGCCAAAAGCCTCGGCAGCAGCACAAACAAGGGCTTACGATGATCACGAGATAGCGCCCACGACGATCAAACAAGAAATTGAAGACTCTGATAGAAGGCTAAACTGCTAATCAGATGAAATCAGTTTCAGAAAGACTATCATATCCATGCACTGAGCCAACCAGGACCAAGTCCCAAGTAGATGCACGAAGACGCCCAGCTACCACAGAAGAAGACAGAGACCCGAGAGAGGCCCTAAAAAGGAAAAGGGATGACTGTCGCATAAAAGACTCTTTACACTAGGTCCCGGTACATCACTACCACCGCAGAGCAACCGCAGGGCAGCCCATGCCGACAGAATGTAGAAGTAGGGCAGAAGAAGTCATCCTGCACAAACTGAGGTTAAATTGGTAAATAGGGCTCCCTTCCTTTCCTTCAAGCAACGAAATATAGACACGGACAAGTGGATGACCCAAGCTGCCCCTACTGTAATAACGGAGAAGAAGACTCAGAATGCGTACTCCTGATTGCACCAACTGGGATGACGAGCGGAAGGTCACCCTTGGAGCGGACCCGAAACTAGACGTCATACAGACAGATACTTCCGCCTTCAATTTCTTAAGCAGCAATTGGGTTTTACCTCCCCCGTCAGCACAATAGACAATTTGTAACAAAAAAAACGACGGAAGCCTGTTGTTTTACGGACCGGGAATGCAATCGCTAGTTTTCTTTGTCCTCCAAAGAAGCAAAATGCATGCAAACCATTCCATACAGAAACAAGGATAGCCAGTTACTGAGCAATTAGCAAAGAAGTTGACGACCACAGTCTCGAAAAAAAAACATTTTTTTTTTCAAATTGATGTCGTGATAAAAAGATCTGAACAAAAAAAAATCTTAGGTATATTTGAGAGTGATAATAAAACACGTCACGATTCCCAAAATTGCGCAAAAAAACTCCAAAATCTATCTTGAGTAAAATTAAATTTTCACGGCTTGAACGATGCTTAAACAAGTCTTTTCTACGTTTTAAACTAAATTTGGTTACATTCGTTACTTGTTGTTCAAATTTATTTTTTCTACCTAACTTTGATGTTTTTGATACTTTTTTATATCAATTGAGTATAATAAATTTGCAATGGATTTTGATGTTTTACTAATTAATAGCAATATAATCTATTTTATTTGATTATAATCGATTAATTTTGACTTTTAAAGAGACCGAAATTTAAACTCAAATTCAATCAGTTTTTATTCATGGAGTTCCAGTGCAGGGCGTTTTTTGGTGAAAAAGAATTTCAGCCATTGCTCCGTTG